CGTATTTGGGAGAGTATTGGGAAAACAAACCATCATACCAGAAAGAACCTAAATGGTCATCAGTATCATAAGTATGGGCATGGAACTGAGTTCTAAGAGTGATTATCTCAAGAGACAGGAAGTGAAAACTACCAGTTTCTTAAGACTTGAGCCTGGAAATTATTCCAGCATCACCTAAGCTGTATTCTATTGGTCACACAGCCTAGATTCAAGGAAAGGGACATAGACTCTACCTCTCAAAGGGAGAAGTGGCAAAGAATTTGGAAGCTATGTTTTTTAAACTGCCGTATCAAGTTCAGGGAAGACAATATGTTTTTAGGGTTAGGGTTGGATCCTCTAAGAAACCTCAAGAGTTTAAATACTCAATGTGAAGTATACATTATGTATGACCAGCTGGCTTACTATGTGTAATATCTGGCATTGTATTACATTGCTACCTACACCTTAATTACACCAAGATGGCACCATATCCTACATCAGAATTTCTTGACTATCCTCACCCTCAAAGTGCTTTTGGTCAAAATTCTGCTCTTAAATGGGAGGAATTGACCAAGAGGGATTTGGCTCTTTTTGATGAGCATTATTAGTTGAATGTCAGCTCTGGATAGCCATGTAGTAACATTTAAACCTCTGGCAGATTGTGGAGAATGGCACAATGAGGACAATTATAAATATCATGAGACGTTTGGAAACTATTTTGTGTTTAATTTTTTAGGTAGCCTGTACCTAATCAGGAGACTAAATATCAAGGATCAGTTTGATCAAGCTTAGTTAACCAAACAGCCTTTTAAATAAATGACTAATCATTTCATCTTTTTTTTTTTTTTGATGGGTACAAGATATATTAGCTGTTGTATGGCTCTCTTGGCTAGCCTGAAAATAGTCAAGGGCAATTGTATTATTCTGGATGATTTTAGACATCAGATTTATATTAGTTATTGAATTTCTTGGTTTTGGGGTGTTTTTTTTTGGTATCATGGTCAGTATGGTCACTTGTTTTAGATTAGAAACTTGTAGTCAGTGTAGACACCTATGTCCTGGACTCCTCCTGATAAGTTAACTGGGCTTTAAAAAACAATGTTACTAAGAGGTTTGTTTTGAATACTTGGAAATGCAGGATTACCTGTCCAAACTACAGGTCACAGTTGATAGAGTAAGTACATGAAGACCATCTGAATACACAAGAATAGTCCTGAGGGTTTACACTAAGGAGATACAATTTTCTTTTTATTTATAGTAATCCACAAGTACCAATTACTATATAAATTTACTTGGTCTGATGGACTTCAATATATTTTGTTGTAGCACCTGAATATCTAAGAAAAGAATTGGACTATAGCATATTTCAGTAGTCTATGTTTTTTTTTTTTTTTATCCTTGACATCCCTGGAGTTTCTTTGAGGCTCTAGGAAACATCAGGAACAGTAGTAATATCAGTATCAGAGATACAGAGTAAGTGTGTTGGGGTTAGTAATATTAACAATAATAATATAACTATAGTTATAAATTGATATATAACTATATTTATAACTATAGCTAGTATTAACTCTAATAGTAACCTATGGATTTAGGGGTTAGATGACAAATACAATAGCAGATTGTAATTCAAATGATTTATAATATAGCGAAGTCCTTCCATTGGCACCTACATCTGAGTTAAGCCAAAATTGCACCTTTCCTTCCTGAAAATGTCTCAATTTTAAAAACCCTTAAAAATCTACAAGTAAATTATTACATGTAATTTTTTTTAATAATAGAAGAAAACTTTGCTGAACTGGAAAAAGATTTTTATCTTCAGATTGAAATTGTTCACTGATACCCAGTGTGATAGTATTAAACTATGTTTACAAATCCTTTGATACTCCTCCCTTCAAGAGGTGGGGCTTTATTCTCCTTCCCTTGAGTGTAGGCTGGACTTAGTGACTTGCTTCTGATGAAAGGAATATGGTGGAGATTTTTAAGAAATAAATAAATAAAGTGACAGTATGTGACTTTTGAGACTGTGTCATAAAAGCACTGTAACTTCTTCCTTGCTCTTTCTCTTAGATCACCTGCTCTGGAGGAAGCCAACTGCCATATTGGAAAACTACCTAATCAGCTCTACAGGGAGACTCACATGGCAAGGAACTGAGGCCTCCTTCCAACAGCCATGTGAGTGTGCCATCTTGGAAGTCGATTCTCCGGCCCCAGTCAAGCGTTCAGATGACTTAAGCCCCAGCTGATATCTCACTGCAACCTCATGAGAGATACCAAGGCAGAACCACTCAGCTAAGCCATTTCTGAATTCTAACCAACAACTGTGAGATAAAATGTTTGCTCTTTTAAAGTGCTAAGTTTTGAAGTAATATGTTACTCAGCAATACATAATGAATATAACCAGGAAGGATTAAGATTTATTTTTTAAAAGACACATCTAGAAATTAAGAAAAAATTCTTAAAGCATCAGACAGAAAGAACAAGCTATTTACAAAAGAAACAAAATAAGATGAATATTTCTTTCTTATCAGTAATAGTAGAAGTTGGAAGTCAACAACTACAATTTTTGGACAAGCAAAGATTCAATTTACCTATACATCCTATCTTAAAAAATAATTGAAGAAATTCTCTAACCATATAAAAATTGAATAGAATTTAATCATGACTATACCAAGATCTTACAGGCAAGATAAAAAAGCACACATACAAAAGGCTATTTTGCAATATTTAAATCTAAATGGATGCTGACAATATGAATGGGAATTTGTAATATGTTATAAAATTAGTCTTGAAATACAAATAATTTTCACTTACATAGCTTAGTATTAAACTTTCTATTACATAATTCATCATTCAGCAAGTATTTACTTGTCACTTACTATGCATATGTATTTAAAAAAATTCTCAGCAAGTGAACAGACCTTTGATGCCCACAAATGGAACTTAAGAACTACCATCCCTGCAAAAACTTTCCTGAAACATTGCATGTTAGTTTTCAGAAATGTGCTATTTGTATAGTTTGGTTTCCTGTGTAAGCTCTAGGTTACATTTAATAAGTGTGTAATTTTTTGTATTCAAATTTTTTTTCCAAGTTCCATAATCTAATATAATTCATTATCATTTCTCCAGCACTTCATTTTTGTTTTAAATGACTCTTTGTTAATCATTCAACATCTCTTTGCTGAAGATAAATAACAGAGCACATTCCCAGTTGATAGACGTGGAAACTGAAAATAAACATGAAGAAATTTATACTTGGTCATACTGCCAATTTCTGAAAGGGCCATATTATTAATTCAGCCTCTGATACCTTATGACACAATTCACTTAACAAATATTTACTGGATACCTACCATGTGTCAGCACTGTATTGGCCACTATAAAATCAAACATGAAGACAACATAGGCCCTGACATAAATGAGTTTAGAGAAAGAAGTCAGGAAAAAAAATTATAAATGCAAGCTTTAAAGCAAAGTGATAACAAAGAGTTCAGAATAACCACATTTTCCTAGAGATTAGGAATAGCCAGGAAACTCTTCATAAAATGGGTCATGAGGATATATTTCAAGAAGTTTGACAGGTGACCAATTAATTGGCTATGGGAGTTCAAGAAAATAGAAGCCTAAAATGATCTTGCTTTCCCTTCCTACTTCTTTTCTTTCTTTCTTATTGAACTAACAATGTAGGTGGTATCCTTAACCAGTATGGGTAATTCATGACTGAATGTGAGGCTTGATGGCACTTTCATGTATAAAATACAAGAACTCTCTATTCAAGTTCTGGAGTTATTGATCAAGATATAATATTGTATTCAAATTTTAAGGTCCATCTTCAGGAAGCTAATCTTTTTTTCCTAATAATTTTGAGATGAACAGTTATTTCAACATTTGCATTTATATTTGTAAGAGGCCAGCTATAACATGTTTTACCTTTTAAATGGTGTGAGGTTTAACTTTAATTACAGTTTTTTGTTTTGGGGGTTTGTTTTTTTTGGCCGCACTGCGGGGGTTGAACCTGGGCCACCGCAGTGAAAGGGCCCTACCCTAACCACTGGACCGCCAGGGAACGCCCTAACTTTAATTATAGGTTTTAAGTTTTTGTTTTTAGTATTTAATTACCCAATGGAAAGCAACATATATACAGATATATGTATATATGTAACTTGTATAGGTAACGGATTTTCTATACATTACAAATTACGATACTAGTTACTCAAGGTTAAGTTCTCTGTAGGATCATTTCAATAACTCACACCTGTTAACATGAAACAAAATTTTAATATCTGGCTCTTACAAGATCTTTTAAAATAGCTCAATGATAGAGGGATGTAACGAGTCTTATTCCAATCTACCCAATGTAACTAGTTTGTTACCCAGACACCGGTTCCCCTACACTTTTTCCACCACTTTGGAAAAACGGACTACAACGAAACCTAGCGCCTCTTGAGCAGTTTCATTCATTCCATGAATACATAGGCACCGTAAGGGACGCCTTTTAGCCAGGCCTTTTTTACCCTTTTGGGGCCACAAAGCGCCCCTGCCGGCTGATAAGGAAATTCCGTAAACTTCAATTCCCCTCCTCTCTGTTTCTTCCCGGCCCACGAAAGCAGGAGCATCACAAAATTCCCAGCCCGGAGCTTGGGTATTACCCACCCAAGCCCAGTGACGAGCCCTCACAGCGCCGCCCGGGCTTCAAAAGTTGAACCGTGTTAACCTTCGGCGGTGGGGTCCGACCTAGCTGAATTCGACATCACGTGGCCGCAGGAGCCCAATAACCGAGCCCCACGCTTTCCAGGCCGCTGCAAGTGCTCACAGAGCCGGAGCTTGAGCGAAGCCCCGCCCCGGCCCCACGGTGCGCCCGCGTTAATCCTCCCATGAGGTCCCAGACGCTGGGGCTGCGGGTTCCTACCGAGCATTCTTTCCGAACTTGGCCAGGAGAGCGTTTCCAGATTGGCTTGCTCTGGAGGCGGGCTGAGGACTCATTTGAGACTAGGACTACTTCCTGAAGCGCGAGACAGGAAGTTATCTGGTATCTCTGGAGTGCCGTGGGGAAAGTACTGGCTTCCGCTTTGGTGACGGCTAGACCAGGCGGTGGGTCGGCGTATTGGCTGTTTGGTCTCTCCGCAGCTAGGGGCCCGTTTCCATCGCAGCACCACGGCCCCCTCCTCCAGCCCAGACCCCGACGAGGCTGCCTGGGGGGCTCCTTCAGGCTCCTTGACGCCTCTCCAAGGGGCATCTACCTGGGCATCGCCTGGGCCTCCCGCCGGGGGACTGACTCCCGGCTTCAGCACTCAGGGCCACAGTAAGAGGTGCCCTTATCAACCCGCGCCCTGCCCCCCTCCCTGAGCCATCGAGACCCTGGTCCAGAGCGACAGCCTTGGACCTGGGACTAGACGGATCCAAGACGCTAACTCCTGGCCTCCTACAGACGGGGCTCTGCATCGTCTCTGATATGTCACCCACTATCTCCCACAAGGACAGCAGTCGGCAACGACGGCCAGGGACTTTTAACCACTCTCTAGATATGAAGAGCGGCAACGACGGCCAGGGACTTTTAAACACTCTCTAGATATGAAGAGAGGTCCTCTGCCGCCGGGCGCCTGGGATGATAATTATCCGGAGTTGGTTGACGGGGAAGGGGACCAAGAAGCTCTTCTGCGGGATATCGGCGCTAGTGACTTCTCAAAACCCCCACGGAGCTGCCGGGCGGAATTAAGCAGCATTTTGCTGTTGCTCTTTCTTTACGTGCTTCAGGGCATTCCACTGGGCCTGGCGGGAAGCATCCCACTCATTTTACAGAGCAAAAACGTTAGCTATACAGATCAAGCTTTCTTCAGTTTTGTCTTTTGGCCCTTCAGTCTCAAATTGCTCTGGGCCCCGTTGGTTGATGCGGTTTACTTTAGGAACTTCGGTCGTCGCAAATCTTGGCTTGTCCCTACACAGTATATACTGGGACTCTTCATGATATATCTCTCCACTCAAGTGGACCATTTGCTCGGAAATACAGACGGCAGAACCCCCGATGTGGTTGCTCTCACTGTGACATTCTTTTTGTTTGAATTCCTGGCAGCTACTCAGGACATAGCTGTGGATGGTTGGGCGTTAACCATGTTATCCCGGGAAAACGTGGGTTATGCTTCTACTTGCAATTCAGTGGGCCAAACAGCCGGTTACTTTTTGGGCAATGTTTTGTTTTTGGCCCTTGAATCTGCCGACTTTTGTAACAAATATTTGCGGTTTCAACCTCAACCCAGGGGAATCGTTACTCTTTCAGGTAGTGTATTTAATTTTTTATGTTGTTAAGTTTATTGTACGTTTATGAATCCTTTCGACAGTGTGTGTGGTGTTAGAAGGAACCATTATTTAATGTACTGGAAATCATTTTATGGGAGATAATCCGAGGTAAGTTTTCTGTTCTACTAAAATGAGCTTCAGCCAGAATGATTACATTAGAGCAGTCATAATTGATGAGTATTCTGAACTGAGCAGGGGAGGGCAACCCAGTAAACATTGTTGTGTCATAGCAAACAAAACTCTGAGTCTAGGGATACCTTGGCACTTGCCTAATAATACTCAGATGCACATTTTTTAGAAGACTGGCTAGTGTGAAGACATGAGCCCAGCCTTATTTCAGAATTTTCCTTTCGTCTTTTGTTAGACTGAGGTTTCTAGCTCCGTGTTTTCTGGTCCATTTCTACCCCTACCCTTATACCAAGAGCCCTCATCTAGCCTTCTGGTGAATAGAACAGGGTTAATTCATCTAAACATTAATGAGCAGGCTAAGTGACAGGGTTCAAAGGGCCTCCTATGATTAAAGCCAAGTCCCGCCCACAAGAAGAACTTGCCAGAGTCAGGCTTGGCATTTGCTGTTGTTGAATTACAAGATTTCATGAAATGGGTAAGTAGAGTTCCAGAATGCACAAAACACCAGGTGAAAATGCACTGAAGCAGCAAAGTACAGAAAGATACAAGACAGTACATGCAGTGTTCAAAGTGCCTGAAGCAGTCATTGTGGGGCCTGATTTTGGACAATGTTGCTGAAAGAAAGGTTGTGACCAAATTAAACGTTGTTGACCAAATTATTTAGTTGCTGTGAGTGAGTCTAAAGTTTATCCCGTAGGAAATTGGGTGTAAATTCTACAGATTTCCCCCTCATTCTGCATGAGCACAATACAAGGCCCAGTAAGGTTTTCTGGTTTTTTGTTTTGTTTTGTTTTTTAACTTTCCTAACAACTGAGAAACAGTAAAATTACCAGTATCAGGAATGACCAACACTGAGAATATAGTAGAATTCTTCATTCTGGTAGTGATGATCAATTTAGGTGACTGTCTCTTGAAGTTTAAACAGCTAAACTTTCTCTCATTTTTCTAGTACTAGGGGATTCCCAGTAGGGTAAATGTCAGGGCAAGGTGTGTGGTGAGGGAAGTTTAAGGGCTATATCATAATATTCAGGGAAGGGAGGAAGGGATTCCCAACTGTATTACTGAAATCGTATACAGCCCCTCCACACCCCTACACCCTATAAGTGACCCCCTTTCTACCTCCTCAAACTGCCAGTGAGCCACTACTACTGATGAAATAATAGTTATACTTTTCCTCAGTTGGTTTACGGCCAAAAATGGTTGAGAGATATTGCTGTGCACCTAGACAGATTTGTCTCTGAGTGTTCTGGGGTCCCACTCCTGCTATATGGTTAATTCTCTGCTTACAAATACTTCATGAATGCATCGTTGCTTTTTTATGTGTCTTGCTTTTCCTTTTTTACTGGGACTGTTCATATCACCAAAAAGGGCTAATAGGATGATGTGTTACTTAACATGGGAAACTCTCAATAAATAAATCAAGATCGAAGAGACTATGGAAACTAAATTACTAAGTAAATTAGAGCTTTCTCATAAGTGTGATAAAAGAGTGATTAATAAAATATCATTCCAGAGAATGCCATTAACTGTTCCCCTATGGGAAGATCAAAATTGTGCCACTGGATTTTTATTTACACTGATTTATTATTTTGAATAGCTGTTTGTTCTGGAATTTGAACTTTGTTCTCCAGGAAATTGTAAAAATAGCTTACTTTTTAATAAGTTAAGAGTTGAAGAGTTCTGCATTTTCATTCTCCTTTGTATGACTGTACATATCACATTTATAGGTTTTTTTTTTGGAACTTAGTATAACTAAGAGTAACTAGTGGCTTTGAGGAATTTAGAGAGCACAGAAAGAATCATGAAGGAAATACAGTTGCTTAGGTAATAAAAGAGGCAAACACTGAGGCAGATGTTTACAAAATGAGGAAATTAAAAAGAGGCATAATTATTTTTTAAAATTCTGAAATATGTTCTGTTATTAGCACTTTGTTTTGAGTTACAGATACATAGAGATAGAATATATTGAGAAAGAACAGTTTTTGCCATCTAGAAAGCAGTAATCTAAATAGTAAATTTAGAACAGGAAGGAGAGGTTGAAAACACAGTCCCTTAGAAAGAAAACCTTGATTATGCTGAGATTGGCTTTTTGGTACCTTCAAGGATACAGAACAGTCCTTAACTCAGAGGTAGCCTTTTTTTGCTCCTGCCCCCTTGGTTTTCAAAGATCTTTAGTAGCAAAAAGAGATAACCTTTTAAGCTTCAAGCAATGTGAGAGTAACCCAGTAGAACACAGAGATTAGAACATAAAGTTTTATGCCTTGAAAAGATCATATATTTCAGTTCCTCATTCTTACTGATGAGGAAACTGATCAGGAAATTGTAACTGGCTAGTTAGAGGTAGAGATAGATATACCTAGAGCTTAGGTTTCCTGACTCCTTATTTGGTGTTTTTCCTCCATTTGGTAGGAAACTAGGAAAAACTTCAAAAAAAAAAAAAGCCTCAAAACCTGAATATAATATGTGCTGATTGGGCTTTTCTATGAGAAATCAGCACTCTGACTGCTGATGTCTAAAACACATCAACATGCTCCCAGAATGCCAGATGCCCAGAAGTGACAGACTAAGGGTTTCTTGTTGTTGTGTTGTTATTTTGATTTTAAAGTGACCCATGACATTCATTTACTCAGCATTGAATGCCTGTTTGGTACTGGTCATGTGATAGATGTTACAATTTGATGAATAAAACCTGGACATTCTCTGCTTGCAAGGAATTTATAGTCTATAGTGCAGGTTTGCAAACCAAAATGATGAGTTGGTGCAGGACTGTAGGTATTGGAGGGGACAGTGATGACCTGAAAAACTCATGCCCTTTTAAAGGCGGGTAGCTTCATCTCCAATAAATTGTTCTCTTGTGGCAGTAGGATATCAGGATTGCTAGATATTATGAGTATTCAGGAGAAGCTGGAAATTCCCTTTTTATTTCCTCATTTTAAAAACATTTGCTAGAATCATAAAATATGTCCTTAGGCCAGATCCAGCCTGAGAACTGGTAGTCGAGGCCTGCTTCTCTAGAAGTAGTGATAGGGACTTCCCTGGTGGTTCAGGGGTTAAGACTCAGTGCTTCCACTAAAGGAGCACAGGTTCAATCCCTGGTCAGGGAACTAAGATCCCATATAACACGCATGGCATGGCCAAAAAATGGGGAAAAAAAATTAGAAGCAGTGGTAACAATAATGAATAGAAGTGATTGGCATGGGAGCAGTATATTTGGGTTTTGAGACAGGGAGCAGGATAGTCTGATAGTGGAGAAAAGGGCCAAATATATTAGAGCTATGAATCTGTTTATCTATAGATAGGCCTGCACATATAGGAGTAAACCAGAGAAAAATGAAATGATGCTTTGAAAAAACAGATGCTCTAAGTATGAAGGTAATCAAACTGATGATAATAATAGTAAAAACATTATTTTTAAGACATTTATGCTTTGAGAGAGAGAGTGCTGAATTCTGACCACTAGACCACTAGGGAGACTCATGATATTCATGCTTTGAATTAGGAAGAGAACAGGACCATTAATTCTGACTTAGTGACAAATTTCTTTGTCTTGCTTTCTGAAGCAGTACTCATTAATATATTTTACGTGACTAGAAGTGCTATTTAGAATTTGGGCAGAACTAACTGACCCATTTCTAGATCAGTTATTCTTATATAGGCTGTAATACATTCTTTAGCATCTAAATCTAGGCTTGAAACATTCCCTTACATTCTCAAAAGATAAAACTATAGAGATAGAAAACAGATCAGTAGTTGCTAGGGGTTGTGGATGAGAAGGTTACTATAAATTAATAGCATGAAGGAGTTTTGGGGGTGTTGAAACAGTTCTGTAATGATTTGAATTTATGCATGTGTTAAAATTCATAGAACTGTACACCAAAAAATTGTATAATTACTTAAGATTTCTAAAAATTTTAAAAAGGAATCCATTACCTTACAAGTTAATCCCTGGGTAAATATCATACACAGTATATGATATACAGTCCTTGAGTTTCACTCTATTTTTGCCTTGAATGGAACAAATTAATAAATCTGGTGGATCTCACATCTCATTATAGACAAAGGAAGAAGTGAACTTCTTTTCAAATGTTGGGGCCCTAGTAGTAAAGTGAGATAGCTGGGAATACTGGGGCTACTAGATTCAGGAGAGATTAAATATTAAAAACTGGAGACCATACCCTAGAAAGAAAGATTAAAGCCTTTTTCCTTTTTAAAACAAAGCAAAGGAGAAATGGTACTGTATGCTTTCCTTGTCCAGTAAAGAACTGTAGAATAGCTTTTGTGGATGGGGTGCATAAAAGCCAATTTACAAAATGCACTGTAAACCAAAAAAGTATTTGATTTTATTTGGCATATGTCTTACTCTGAATTTCACTTCTAACTTTATTGAAATTTATTTGGAGGCCAATTGAATTAGCCTTTACTATGTAAATTTATCAACAAAACAGTCAGAACCTCACTAATTACAAGCAGTCTCCTACTTTCATTTATAGTGTTTCTGAGAACTATAATTTAATTGGAGAAAGCAAAATAGACTTACCTAATACAAGATGTTTTCCTAGGAAATTAAAAATGAAATATAAGGACTTTACTGGTGGCACAGCAGTTAAGAATCCGCCAGCCAATGCAGGGACACGGGTTCAAGCCCTGGTCCGGGAAGATCCCACACGCCGCAGAGCAATTAAGCCCGTGTGCCACAACTACTGAGCCGTGCACCTAGAGTCCGTGCTCCGAAACAAGAGAAGCCACCGCAATGAGAAGCCCGTGCACCGCAACGAAGAGTAGCCACAGCTCGCCGCAATTAGAGAAAGCCCTCATGCAGCAATGAAGACGCAGCGCATCCAAAAATAAATA